TGATAGTGTGCAGTAGGACCAGGCCAGTCTACGGTTCAGCTCCTGGGTGCCCATGTGCTGTGCCTCCAGGGGGGAAAGAAGCTGTGATGGGCTGAAGCCTTCCCAGCTCTTCTGTTCTGCCACATGCCAAACTGCAGACAAAGATGGGGCCTGGCATGGAGGATTCAGGGTCAAATACTAAGGAAAAAGAAATAAAGAACCAGCTGAATTTCTTCCTGTCAGACAAACAGCAAAAAGCACAACGAGTATTTACTCACCTTCTGCAGGGGACAGTGGTGTATTTTTCCTAGGATTTCATTATAAATATCTCTTGTTTCCTCTCTATTGGGCATCACAGTTTGCAGAAGGGGGACAAGAAACTTCTCAGCAGCTCCAGGGTTTTGGTGCATACGTAACAGTTGACGGTGCCCATAGAAACAAGAAAACCTGAAGAAAAAAAAAAAGACAGAAGCATAAGCAGTCCTCACTTCTTAGTGGGTTGTGCATGTAAGTCAGGAATTCTCTCTGCTTGTTATGAGTGAACATGCTGTGTAGGGCAAAAGCTAAGGAGAATGCAAAAAGAACATGAAAGTGATAAAAAAAAAAAAAGAACCTTTAAGGGTGATGCAGATTTATGTCAGGCAAGCAGACAAGCTACAGGAAAATATACAGAAATGAACAGACTGGCAAAATCTCAAAACCCAAGTGAAAAAAAAAAACAACACCCCAAAATAATCTCCCACTAAGTAGCAGAACTGGCTCTCCATGCATTTTAGCTAAGCTTGATATGATTACTTATGCTAGGTATACATGAGGCTCTTTTACAGGATGCAAAAATCACAAGACTGCAACAGTCACAGATTGCTCTCGTTCCAGTATTTTCCATGTTGCATTCCTTTCAGAAGTTGAGCTCACTGCTTTTGGATCCCTAGAAGTGATGAGGCTTCCTGTTCAAGACACTTAATAACAGAAAGTGAGCTTAAATAAAAAGAGAAGGAGCTAACTCACTAGAACAGCTATCAAGCTGAAGCAGGACTTGGCAATCATATGTAAAGAAAGTGAAAAAGGTCATAAAACCTGAAACTTAAAACTAGCTTCATTCCCAGGGAAAAACTGAAGCTGTTTTACTGGAAAGCATAGTAAAAATTCCTCAGTGCCACTAAAGCACATGAAGACCGAGCATTCTATAAATTGCTACTTGACTGCCCGAGATTAAATATATACATATTTATCCAAGGCAGCAGTTACAGTGATCAACCATTACTCTTCCAAGAAAAAACACAAATGTTTTCAGTAACAGACCACAGAAGTAAATGCAGAATCTGGCCCACAGCTGTCATGCAAACAGAGCACAGCCAACAGGGAGGGCAGGAAACCATCTGGAAGACCCAGAGATAGGCATGTACAGGAAAATCTGCTACAATGGAGGCTCTCAAACAAATGCTGACACTACTGGCAATACTCAGAAGATCTCAAAGTGATGTGCTGAGCAGCTGCTGCTGCTCCTGTGAGCAGCCAGCAGACAAGAGCCTTTAGACTGGTTGTGATATGGTTGTAGCAGCAGCTTCCAGCTCCAGCCTCAGTGACCACCTTAACTTGCCAAGCAAACCATCTTGGTAGGCACACATCCCTACAGTGCTTCTGTATTTCAGGACAAAACTTCCTAGGCATGCTCTGGAGTTCTGCAGCTTCCCAAGAGCAGTGGGCTTACTGAACACGCACTTGAAAATGGACTGGATTTTCTTCTAAGAGCAACTACAAGGTACAGTCAACAGGACACAATGTACAATCTAGTTTAATGGGTTACTTAGGCCAGTACAGTAGCAGCTGTGGCTGCTAGTATCCAAGCAGAGTCATTTTATGAACCCTTGATCTAGAAGACACCCAGGTAGGCTACAAAGGCCATTTACATATCACCTGACTTCAGAAGAAGTGTCCTCACCTCTCCACAAACGTCTCCAAGAGGCTCACCAGCCAGAGGTAAAGTGGCATACCAACATTGTAGCGGAAGAGCAGCTGTAGGTACAGATTTCCTGAAGAGGCTGGAGGCTGGTACGGGGTGCTGAGCCTTGAAAAACTCTTCAGCAAAACAGTGCTGCTCAGGCAAGCACCAAGTACAACAAAAGGGAACGATAGCAGAGGCTTCTGCAGGAGGTGGACATCGATGAGCTGAGATACACAGATACACAACTTAAGAGAGGAGACAGCTGGTCTGCCACCACTCCCCAAAACCATCAGCCCACCCTAAACCTTTTGTCACTCTGCTGGATTGTCTATAAATCCAATGAGCCTGAGGGGCCCCACACTGCTTAGGGAGGAATCAGATAGTAATAATTTTGACTCTCATGACCAAGCCTAGACAGCACAACCCTCAATTTTGTTCCAGATACTTGCTGAAATAATTCCCATGTTCCCTAGTCTTCTGTTCATCCCTATACTTGTGAGCCATACCCAAGGCCCAAGCCTTTTCCACTGAATGCTTTATGTCTTCTAAGTCTCACAACTTACCTCCACACATGCTCCAGGTCGAAGTCCACGTGCAGAATGCAACATCTGCTGGTAAGCAAGGCACAAGCAGACTTTGTTATCCAGTAAAAAGAGACCAGCTTGGGCATTGAGTATTTTCGTGATAGTTCCCTAAATAGAAAGCAAACAAAGTTAGATAAGAACATGAAAGACTCAGAGGCCTAAGAAACATGGAAATAAATTAATGATGAAAATAAAACCTTGAGGCCAGGAGCTGAAACTCTACAGAATGAGTGGGTGAAGGCTAACCCTATGAATCCTTACCAAATATGAAATGATCTTGGACTCTTTTGTTGATCCTGGCCTCTCCTCTTCAACTCCCAGCTCCAAGGAATCACTGAGCTGCTCAGCAGTCTCAAGGAAAGAAGACTGAGTAGATTCTCCTTGCCAAACACTGTCCAGTGGCTGCTCCCTCATCTGGTCTGCACGGTAGGGCAGAAGGCAGGAAGAAACACTGGTGACAAACACCCTTAGTCCAGATTTCTTCAGGCTGGACATACTCAGGCCTGTTATTGAGTACCTGTGACCCAGCTGGAGGGTATGATGCCATGCCAGCTGGCTGGACTTCTAGAGCAGAGAAACCAAAAATGGTATCAGCATTTCCTGCACTGGAAAAAAAACCCTAACTCTTCCCAACCCTAATAACCCCCCCAAAAAAGAAATTTTTCCTTCAGATGACTGCCTCACACTCTTAGAAAATGGGTGATATCTGCAAGATGTTCAGGGACACTGCAACTGCATAATGGAGGAGCACTGTATTTCTGCAGGGCATAGAACTAGGCTTCTTATATACAGGACTATTGGAGGCTGCACGGAATAATAATAACAACAATAACAATAATAGAGAATCACTGCTGAAAGGGAGAATAAATCAAGCCAGGAAGTCAAGAGCAAGCTTCAAAGAATTAATCAGCTAGCACATACACAGAGATAGTGAATTTGTGAACAAAATTCCAAGGACTTACCTGCACCAGCACAGGGACCCAAACAGCTGAGGTGAAGCACTTCAGAAACAAAAAGAAGAATGTCTTGTGACGAATACAAAGGAGAGGCCCAAGTCTGACTAATTCACCTGCCACAGTGAGGTTTGACCTTTTCTTACAAGGAATCCTAGAGGGCAATTAAAGAGACAAAGGAAATTGGAGATGAAAGAAGAACTCAAAAGTATCTCAAAAGCAAAAGAAACAAATATGCAGCATACACCTTCTGGAAATGAAGGATCCAACAGGGTAACATGGACCATCTCTCAGCAACGTTTTCAAAACAGTATTTGGCTGCAGAAGACTTACTTTAATTTTTATCTACTAAAACTGTTTGATATGAAAAAGCGATAATATTTAAAGACAGTAGGATTGTGTTCAAGAGATTCACATGTTCCATTGCAACAGACTGATTATAAAAAGGTTAACCACACACAAGAAGCTAATTATAGGCCAAAAGGAAAAAAAGGCAAAAAAAGCCACAAGAAATTCTTTAGCAGAAAAGAGAACTCAAGACTTTGTAGATTCATACAATGTGACACTGTGGAAGCTCTAAGCCTATAAACAAAAGAATCCTGAAAGCAACAATAAGGAGTCTTCCTAACAAACTTGGCAAAAGGTGAAAGAGCAGCAAAACTGAGAGCAGATGAGAGGGGAGAGGTGACATTTCTTTAGTAATTTCTGTTAGTAATTTCAAACTTTCATTTCAAAAAATGAAAAAAAAATTTAGTTGTTTTCCATTTCGTTTGTCACTTTCATTTCAACTATTGAACTTGAATATAACCATCCCACTTACTCTAAACAAACACATTACTGATTCTAAAAGATACAAACAATTATCTGACTTTTTAAAAAAAAAAAAGAACACCAGGACCTTCACACACACTAGTACCAGCACTTTATTTATAACATTTTTAAAGAAGGAACATGGCAAATTAGTCAGATGTCAGGGAATAGCAGAGGAACTTTATGTTAAAAGCCTGAGAGTGTACACTGAAATACATGATGAGTTTTCTTGTTTGGAAAGGTCTATTGAGCTAAATCAAACACTTAAGTCTGAAGTAAGTTTCTTACAAGCAGATAATCACAATTAAAACAAAAGAAAACTAAAAAGAAACTACGAAACGAAAAGCATCCTGACAAGTGACATTTTATTGTTATGAAGTTAATCCAAGAATTGTCTACTCAAGATGATAAAACATCTAGAAGAACCTAAAATTACAATTTTCAGTAATATTTGCAATTCCATGGGCTACATTTTCATATACACGAAGTATTATTTCCACAAAAGTCAACACTCTTATCAGCTGACATTTAACTGGCACCTTTATCTCAGCAATCTAATAAGACCTGGATTGGTGGTGTATATGAATTTCATATTAAAATCTGGAATTACTTTCAATAATACTTTTGGTTCACTGTAGGTTAAAAAAAAAGTTTTGCTAACCAAAATAGTGAATTTTAGGTTGAATAATCACTTTGTTCTTATGTCCTTTCTGTAGTATCAAAACACATCCAGAAATAATTGAAACTGGTCTATTCTGTCAAAATACAGAATAAAATTTTTCAGTAAAGACCTGGAAAACAGCTGTTTAATGAAAAGTGGCTTTATTGTGTACCTCCTACTTCTACCAGTCAACATTACGCTCCCACTGGTGGCAGAAATAGGATTTGGCTCTTCCTAAGCCAAATGTTCTTCATGGTACCTGCCAAACCAGAGCAACAGTGCATGATGAAGCTGAGCTCAGCAGGTGTTTACCTGGAGGTAAGCAGTGACTCCGCTGCTGCAGGGTAGGCAACTGAAATGCTGTCTGGTGTTTCCTTTGGGACATTTACTGGCACTGGATCCATCAGGATTTCCACATACCCTGCATGCTGGTCTGTCTGTGGTATGTACGACCAGCTTGGGAAGAGGAACAGTGACTCCAGCCACTCAAGTTCAAAATGTAGAAGCTAAGATGAAAGATAAAGAGATAAAAGCTTGAGATGTCACTCATGAGATCCCACCTGGAGTACTGTGTCCAGTTCTGGAGCCCTCAACACAGGAAGGACATGGAGCTCTTGGAGTGAGTCCAGAGGAGGGCCACAAACATGATCTGAGGGCTGGAGCGCCTCTGCTACAAAGACAGGCTGAGAGAGTTGGGGCTGTTCAGCCTGGAGAAGAGAAGGTTCCAGAAAGACCTTACACAGGTCTTCCTTCCACTACCTTAAGGGGGCCTACAGGAAACTGGGGAGGGACTTTTTACAAGGGCTTCTAGTGATAGGACAAGGGGTAACGGTTTTAAGCTGGAACAGGGGAGATTTAGGTTAGACATCAAGAAGAAATTCCTTCCGGTGAGGGTGGTGAGACACTGGAACAGGTTACCCAGGGAAGTTGTGTGCTCCCTCCCTTTAAGTGTTCAAGGCCAGGCTGGATGGGGCTTTGAGCAGCCTGATCTAATGGGAGATGTCCCTGTCCATGAAGGGTGTTGGAACCTGAAGTTCTTCAAGGTCCTTTTGAACCCAAACCATTCTACAATTCTACGAGTTACAGTATCTTTTCTCAGCACTACTTACAATGTTCATTACTACTCTGCCTTTCCATACACATCACAAACTCTTGGTCTACTGCTGGGCTTCAGTACTAAATGAGCAGCGTCTTCTGCCCACTCTCCTATCTTGCATGGAGAACTTCTGTCCTTCCAGATGCAAGTCTGGAACAGATTTGCTGAGGTGACAACTAATTCACTTCAAGGCTTAGTTATGTGCTTATTTTATGTGTTTATTTTCCTAAAATTCTCACCTGCTTTCTTTCCCCCTGTTCAGTTAGAAGTTTATACCAATATAACTTTTTTCTTGTCTTCACCTCCTTGGAAACACAACCTTGGTGCTCTTTCATCACCACTCCAGGGGTTACTGCCTACCTCGATCCCCCTTGCTATGACCTTCAGAAGGCTTTCAATTCAACACCACTGCGATGCAAGCTATTATTTCCTGAAATTATGTCATCAATACTCTCCTGAACACCCAGTACAACTCTCCAGAAATTTATTTCTGCACCATTAGTTGGAATACAAAAAATACAGGCTAATGCTATGACCTCCAGCTCTCCCAGGCCACCTCATACGGTTGAGAATTGCAGAGAACCGTACATTAGGCTGTCTCTTTTTTTCAGTCCAGTGCATTCAATATTTTTTCTCCTAGCAATGACAAATTTGACATATTCTATCCTCTCCTCAGGAACTGAGCTTGCTGTTACCCGACCTGTTACACAGATGTGTTATTTCCAACTGAAGCCCCTGGTAGACTGCAACACTGCCCCAGAAGCGGGAATGAATACAGGAAGCCTCAAACTGAGCACATACCTCACATGGAATTATCCCAGTATTGTCTTTCACATAGAGGCAACCATGTACCAATTTCTCTTTGTCCTCTTGCCTTCCATCTGTTAAATAGCCAACTAAAATCAGGTAACTCCTTGGCAAAGCACTGTACATGGGTATAGAATCTTGTCCTCGATGGGACCATTCTTTAAACTCATTAGTGCTCCAGGTCAGGTGGCTGCAGCATGGTGTGCACTGCTGACACTGTAGGTCAGAGATGGAGATGAAACTGGAAAGAAAACCAAAGGAAGACTATAGAAAAAACTCAGTCTGCAAAGTCTGGGAATTACTGTGATCACCACAGTGGATAAAGTTTGCTTTAAACCATCCACTGGCATTTGTCAGGGGTCTTTCTCAGCTCAGTCAACATGTTCTGCTTGAGCATCCTCACCAAAAAGAGATGCCCTTTGCTACTATGGTCACCTGAGCAGGCACACAGAAGACTTGGAAAAAATAGTAATAATAGAGTTGATAAAATGGAACATACTTTCAAGTACACGTGGGAGGAGGTGACAGGGAGAACAGCTATTAGTTCAGACACTTTTATCTGGAATAAGAGACTCAGTGAGAAAATCCCACCAGCAGCTCAACACAGTTTACATATCAGTAACAAACACATGTAAATACAGACTCATTCTGTCATCCAGTGCTAAGAAGTGCTGAAGTGTAGAATAAACAAGGCTGAACAATTTCCAGATGAAGATTGAGACAGTGGTAGAACAAACTCTCCTGTGGATAGCTTACATGATGCAAAGCTGAGAGACAACAAGACAGTAATCTTAGACTGGGCCTTCACTTACAAGGACACAGCTGAGCTAGCCCTGAATCTTTCCATCTACCCTCCTGGCTTTAGAGAGAGCAGGAAAGGAGGAGATGTAACATTAAATCAACCACATGTTGGGCTGTCTGCAGCTTAGCATCTATCATGCTCAGAGTGACCACAGTACTGAATATGAGAAAACAAGGCATCATCCTCTCTGGATTGTAAGCTTTTCACTAGTTATATGATCATGGCAACATTCATCATCATTGTTTATATTCTGGCTCCCTATGCTTGATAATCAATGCAAGTCCTGTGTCCATGACAGCATCAAGAATGAGGGAGTGAATACAAACTGGTCTCAGCTAGTGATTTTGGTACTTGCTTCCAGTGAGTTTAGCTGACAAATTTAGGTTGTGAAACTGGAGATCTATTACTGATATTCAACACCCACTTGCTCAGTAGCAGGACGTAACCAAAGTCAGAAGGTATGAACTTGAAGAGTTTCATGTGTTAGTCACGTATCTAAAGTTCAAAGACAGAGAAAAGTCTAGACAAGTGATGGGTCTGAATCAGCTACGAATAGTATTTATATTAAAAAAAATAATAATCAGAAGGTATCATTTTATGCAGGTACTTCTGTTGTGTGTTTGGCAGGAATCTGAACAGAAGGAAGATTAGGCGAAAAGGTTATAAGCAAATGCTCCATTCTCAGAGACAGAGGAGCAGTGAGGTGAATACTGATACCTGATCTACAAGGAGAACACAGTGCTGCTCATGTTTTCATCACATGTGCTGACTGCTTTTAAGAAACCAAGACTACAGCACCATGCTGGATCCTGGTTACCACACACAGAGAATTGTACCCTCTTCTGGTGCTCCCAAGCTCCATGGTTAACATGGGTACAATTCTCTGTGTGTGGTAACCAGGATCCCAAACAAATCACTGGCCTCAAACAAGACAGATCTCAATTATCTTCAACTCTTCTCTATGAACTCCTCTGAATATAAACCAAACTGGTTTAAACATAAAATACGGTCTACAGAAAAAAACTGCTTGTGAGATCAGTTTAGTGGGTGTGAAAGACCTACCATCTACATTTATAAATCACTAGTATAAAATTAAAGGCCACATAACCCTAATGAGTTCCAATTGGCCTTCACCCCAAAACCAGCTGCACCAGGGGTTTTTAATGGGCATTCTCCTAAAATAAGTTCAAGCAATAGAGAAATAGATCCAGACAAGCCAAACCTTCCAATCTCAATCTCTTCCAGCAAGCTGCATGTTTTTCACAATGGTAAACCCCCAAAAACATTTTACCAACTAATACCTGGACCACACTCCGCTAGAGTCCTTCCCTGTGAGACCGCACACCCGAAGGCAGAGCTCAGCTGGCCAACAGCCTCGGCACCCGCGCCCAGAAGCAGAACAGCAGGATCCAGCCGGGCAGCCAAGCGCGCTAACACCGTGCAGCTCAGCAGCTCCCTCGCAGCGAGATGCCCTACTTTGGTTACACACTCTGCCCACCGCAGACCAGCCGACACGGCGCTCAATCACGCCGCAGGAGCGACCGGGGGCGCACGGAAGCCAAGAGAAGCCGTGCGGTTACCCAGCCCGACAACACCCCTCCCGCCCTGAAGCAATGTTTCAGCTATAAAACTGTGGTTGTAAACATTCTGCCAGGTCTGTCTTTATAAAGTTAGGCCATCTCATAGCAGCAATTGTATTCTCCCTCCTCAGATTCTTATTATTACAGAGCTGATCTGACTGAGGAACCAGAGCTTGGGTACAGGAGGTCTGCACCTTGTCACTCTGTTCTGTGCTTGACCCTCTATACATCATACCCTTTGGTTGCTGTTACCAAATAAGCAAGGCAGTGATGTTTGCCTGTCCTAAAGCCCTCCTGGGCTTTGTCAACTAGAGCTCTTCAATGGTCATTTGATTAATCTCCTTCCCCACTGGTACAGCTCATCCAGCACTGGTGTCCTGCACCTCCCTGCCCTTGCTTCAGCTCACGCAGACCTTCCAACAGATGTGGGGAGGCTGGTGGTCAGGTCCTTCCTTGTGCTGTCTCTGATGCATAAGGTGACAACAGTAAAGACGTAAGGGTAGACTACAAAGGCATGAAAATAATGTCACCAGGTTCAAGTAGGATTAATCTGTTTCCTAACTGATTTAACAATTCTTTGCACTTCACAAAGCCATACAGTGTGTCATCTATGGCTAAGCAGGAAACATAGCACTGGGAGGCTGTTCAGTACCATAATAAAGCAAAAAGGACAGGCATTTGCCTGGTCTTTTCTTTTGAACCCTCAGCACCTGCAGATCCTCCTCTCTCCAGCCTACTCCATTTTTAACTCTCCTCCACTCTTCAAGTCCAACTACCTGAAATCTCCTTTACTACTTTAGACTTATGGGGGAGGGAAGGAGGGAGAGGGGGGAGGGAAGGAGGGAGGGGAGGAAGGAGGGAGGGAGGGATGGACGAGTGCGGGGGTTTCTCTGGCACTCGTGTGGCTGTAGGGGAACGCGTGTTCTTTCTCCAGGAGGCTGAAGCTCCGTGAGGATGGGTGGGTGTGCCTCCTCCGCTCGTAGGGCTACGTGTGATGAATCCGAAACGCTCAATTAAAGATGTTATTTCCTCCTCTGCCCAAGGTAGTTATCGGTGCGTGAGAGTTTTTCCTCCAGGGGCTAATTTTGCACTGCCCTTGTTCGAGGCAAGGAAATGAACCAGACAGAACTTGGCTGATCTTTTCCATCTCTATTGCTGGAGATGCCTGCAGCATGGTGACAGGTTATCCTGCCGTTTCCTTCCCTCCTAGAACCTGCTGCTGGAAGGACAGAGCCGTTCCAAGCCTGAAGCGTGGAGGAGAGTTGTGCAGCTCTCGTTGTTTTGTCCTGTGTACGTGTGGCACTGCTGGCTCCGTGCAGCAGAGGGGCAGCTCTGTGGGTAGGCACAGTCCTTGGACACCTTTGGCTTTGTCCACAAAAATCCAGGCAGTGCGTAAGGGTGAACCGTGTACAAGTTTTGGGCTTATAGAGGTGAAATGGGCATATTCTTCCAAAGCTTAGTAGCTAAATTTAATGCCTTTGACTGTAGCAGAGAGATAATTGCAGAACAGGGGGAAACATTCACTGTCACAAAGGGGTAGCTGGAAGGTGTGCTGGGTGCTGCAGCTGCCTTCATTCATGGTTCCTCCTGCTAATGATCCCAGCCTCAGTACCAAACAGCCAGTTCCTGTCACCCCTGCCAGTCCAGGGGTCAAGACCAGATAACTTAACACGTGCTGTTTGTTATCTCAAGAGAGGGAATAATTCTGAAACATCATGAGGGAAAGGTCTTAATGGGCAACAAATAAAGGGGAGTTATTTGTCATTAGACACATTCCTTACTGTATTTTTAAACGCTGTTGTTAAGAGTGCACACATTAAATCACAGAATCTTAGGGGTTGGAAGGGACCTCGAAAGATCATCCAGTCCAACCCCCCTGCCAGAGCAGGGTCACCCAGAGCACATCCCACGGGAACGTGTCCAGGTGGGCTTTGAATGTCTCCAGTGAAGGAGACCCCACAGCCTCCCTGGGCAGCCTGAGTGAAGCAGAGCTCACGCACAGGATCACATATCTCCGCACTGTGGATGCAGCTCGTTCATCGCAGCATACACGAAGATGTTTTAAATGAAAACGTACGGAATGGGTACGTAAGCTCTAAATACGCTAGTTTTAGCTGACAAACACCTCTCAAGTTACGAAAAGTACGGCTGACAGGCGAGGCACGTTATCGGGGCGCTTCTAAGACTGCAGCGAACCTCCTTCGACGCCCTTTTCCTCTGCGTTTTCTGGCAGTCCGCAGCCAAGGCGATGCCCACGGGCGGCTGCCCCTCCCGCAGCCCTCCCGTGCCGGTGCCGGGGCGG